AGCCGGTGCTCGCGGGCGACCCGGCGCGCGCGCTGTGCTCTTAAGGACCCGCCCCGCCCGGCTCCCGGGTGGGAAGGGGAAGGGGCGGAAAGGGGAAGAGGTAAAAGGGGAGGGGCCGGGAAGTTCGCTGACATTTTTAGCAAGTCCCCTCCCTCCCTCCCAGCCTGGGTTTATAGCCTCGCAGGTTGCGGTGCCTGAATTGGCGGCGGGGGAGGAGGGGGGCTGGACACCACCCCGTCTGTTAACGGGTTCCCCTGAGGGAGGAGTCTTGGCGTGTGACTGCCTTTCCCAGGGGAAAAGGCCACTCTGAACGGTTTTGCGTCTCCGTTCTCTAATTTCAAGCCCAGTATGTCCACCAAGCGCTGAGTCAGACCTTCACATGCCAAAAAATAAGAAACCCTTGGGAAGCCCCATAGAATTAAGGAAAAGAGTGCGGCCAGGTAAATCTATTTAGCAGCAATGGGATTGACACAATTTTCTGATCTCTGGATTTCAGGGTGTGTGTATTTGTGTGTGTGTGTGTGTGTGTGTGTGTGTGTGTGTGTGTGTTGGGGGGGTTGTTAATCCTCACACAAGGACATATTTTCCAGAGGGGGAAAGAAATGACCACATCCCGGCACACGCCTTGGGGAACGGGGAGGGGGGGGGTCAAACTTGCAACCCTGGTAGTACCCATGACCCTTGGTGTGGGTGGGCCCACGCTCTAACCACTGAACACACGGGCCAGAGCTTGGTTGGTTTTAATAAAGGTAGTGAAGTCCATAATCATCATAGATCCTGGGATTTAACGGACCTGAGCCCCTTCTCTGGAGTTACCAGTGATGTCAGTTTATTTTTAAATCACTTGTTGACCTTGGGAGTCTTAGGGAGCTTAGGAATGTGCTTGGCCTGCATTTGCTCATTCACTCTCCCAATGACCCAATGAAGAAGGAGCCACTTTGCAGATAAAGAAGATGAGGATTACCCTGACTGGTTCGCTCAGTGGATAGAGCATCGGACTGCAGACTGAAGGGTCCCAGGTTTGATTCCGGTCAAAGGCATGTACCTTGGTTGTGGGCACATGCCCAGTGGGGAGTGTGCAGGAGGCAGCTGAGTGATGTTTCTTACTCATCAATGTTTCTAACTCTATCCCTCTCCCTTCCTCTCTGTAAAAAATCAATAAAATATATTTTTTAAAAAAAGATGAGTATCATGTACATGAAATATCTTCCCTGTGGTTGCAGTAAAAAATATAAATATCTCTGTCCTTAACATACAATACAAACTGAACAAGTGCTGCTTTTGCCTTGAGACCCCTCTCTGCCTGCCTTCAAAATCTGACCCCTCCTATTCCTAGATAGATGACCTTGGGGGAGTCACTTAATTTCTCTAAACCTCAGTTTCCTCATAGGTTAAAAAAGAGAAGGAAAGAAAAAGAATGCTGTCCTCTCCCGGGGTGGTCAGGCAAGCAGGCAGGTGAGCGGTTAGGAGCCAGCAGTCCCGGATTGTGAGAGGGATGTACGACTGCTAAATAGGCAGTCTGACATCCCTCGAGGAGTCCCAGATTAGAGAGGGTGCAGGCTGGACTGAGGGACACACAAATTTCATGCACTGGGCCTCTAGTGTGATAAATTAAATAAATAAATAAATAAATAAATAAATAAATAAATAAAGAGTGTTTGTGTGTGTGTGCATACGTTCGTGTGTGCATCCTAACAACCATTATAAAACAGTTCATATCCTAATGGACACACACACAATGCATATTCCATAGTTGCTCAATAAATAGTAGCTAGTTATTGGAGGTCACGTGTTACATTATATGAATAATACTATATATCCTCAAACTAGTTTGGTAAATACTCAAAGGCAGTTGTCTGCAGCCTGGAACTGTTCTCAATGAATTCATATTTTGTATGGCTGACCATAAAGACACATCATAATATGCCTTATAAGTTGGGGTTGTGGTTTGGAACTTCAAAGGACAGGAAGGCAGTTTACATGGAGAAGGAAAAGCAAATAATGGTGAATCAATGTTTGCTGGGCCATCCGTTATGATGACCTAGAGAGGACTTTGATTAAAGGGGCCTTGCTAGCTTCCTCCTATCTATCACACACTAGTTCATGTTAAACTTATTATGTATGGTATTTATTACCTCCTTTCCTAGAGCAGGTCCTCTACCAAAATTCTTTTAGGCAATTAGGAGGAAGTTTAAAGGTTTTTCCTGAGTCTTTTGTTTCTTGAAAAATAACCACTATAAAATAGTCCATATCCTAAAGAGGCAGATTTTGGGGTGGCAAAGTTTGCTTCCCCTCACGGTCTTAGCCTGTCCCACTTGCTCTCATCATCTTTGCCCTACAGGAAGTCCTTGATGTTTCATGGGAGGAAAACGAAAGTTATCAGGGAGAGAATCAAAGGAACCACAATTAGTCCAGCTAACAAAATATGACTCTTATGAAATCATTGGGAGCCAGCCAGATGTGCTGCTTATTTCCAAAGTAGTGAGGGAGCCTACTTCTGATCTTGAGTTCCTAATTAAAAACAAAATAAAAGAAAAATATAATTACTATATGATGTGGTTATTTAAAAATAATTCTCCCTACAGGACAAAGAAACTAACACTGTTAAGCATCCACCTGAGGTAAAGTGTAGGGGTGAGTGAGGGCTTTATACTTATTGTTAGTGCACTGTCTTAAAGGAAAAGCATCCTTAGCTTGAACTTGCTCATGTAGCTCTCCCTCTTGGTTTCTTGCCCACTTCCTTTCAATTAGAATAAAGACAGAGCTCACATTACACATTACATTCCCTCTCCTTCTGGAATATTTCATCATACCTGCTCTGTTGTCAGGCACAAAAACCATACTCTATAGAGTCAACATGAGTCCCTGATTCTCCCACACCAACCTAGACTCCTTTAGATGTCCATTGTACCTTCTACATAATCCTGCTATGCTTCTTCTTACACTAATAATAATGAAAGTCACCCCTCAGTACAAGGACTTCACATTAAAGTTCTGACTGACTAGACAAAGCCATAAGAGATATCAAGAATCCAATCTGTTAACATTGTATTACCTAACTAGAGGCACGGCGCACAAAATTTGTGTGTGGGTACAGTCCCTAGGCCTGGCCTGTGAACAGGGCCATCTTCCCTGGCTGCCTGCAGCCAACCCCACCTCCTACCGCCACCCACCCCAGTTCCCCATTCACCATCAGGCGATGGGAGCCTACCAGCCGGGGAAAGGGACCAAGAGGTGGTCAGTGTGCCCCATAGTGACTGGTCGAGCAGTGTTTCTGGTTGTTCTGCTGTTAGGGTCAATTTGCATATTACCCTTTTATTATATAGGATGGTAGAGTGGTACTAAAAATTACATGAGATTATAACCTTCAAAATTATGTGAGATAAAACCCACTTGGTGATAGTAATAATTTTATATACTCAAGAATTGCTTGCTAATACTTTTTTAAAGGATTTCTGCATCTAAGCTCATGAGGGACATTAGACTGTAGTTTCCTTTTATCAGGGAAATAGCACCCTCATAGAATGAGTTGGTAAATGTTCCTTCACTCTATTTTATTTTCTGACAGAGATTACATAGGATTGAAATTAGTTCTTTAAATATTTAATAAAATTAGCTAGTGAACTAAAATTATGTGCGATGATATAATTGTTTATTTTTTGTAGATAAGCTTCCCTCAAAACCCAGAAATAATTAAAATTAAGTATTAAAAAGTTTGTGCTATTTAAAAATTATAATATTAAATATGAGGATCAGAAAGAGCTAATGCATATTTGATATTTTGTGTATTTATATTTGAGAAAATTTGTACAGTTGGATTAACAGAATAGCCTTCGAATGCCAATTCAAAATGTATACTTAAGTAATTGAATTAAACATATGAGTAGAAAGTAAAGTGTATTAAATTTATGTAGATGGTTGGAACATTTAAGAGAAGATAAGTTTCCTATGCAATACTTACAAAAGTTGATAAATGTGGAAAGTTCAGCTAGTTGGGGAGTTCACTGCTTTACTATGCATAATTGTTGCTGGGGATCTTGTGAAATTCGGATAACGCCTCAGTGGGTCTGGGGTGGTTTTACCTTGGTTAGCATGCATGATAATCACTGGGAACCTTGAGAAAATGCAGATTTTGCTGCAGTAGGTCTTGGGTGGGGCTAGATGTTTTGCATTTCTAGCAAGTGCCTAGATGAAGAAATTAGAGTTCCACTGTGAGTAGTGTGGGGTCCAGAATGAGTCACCCCAAAATGTGCCTCTGTGGTATGCAAATTGTGTTAAGCTAAAGCCAACTTTAGTGAAAGGCTCAAGAGAAACTTCCAGCTGAGGGACATCTGTGTCTCTTGTTTGTTTATTTATTTTAATAATAATAGATTCATTGAGATATAATTCACATACCATGCAATTCACCGATCTAAAGTGTACCACTCAGTGATAATTAGTCTATTCACAGAGTTGTGCAACCGTCATCACAATCCATTCTAAAACATTTCATCACCCCGAAAAGAAGCCCAGTACACATTAGCACCCACAGTGCACTTTATCCCCACTCCCCACGGTCTTAGACAACCACTAATTTACTATCTGTATGGATTTTCCTATTTGTGGACATTTCATATAAATGGAATCATACAATATGTAGTCTTTTGTGACTGGCTTCTTTCACTTAGCATAATGTTTTCAAGGTTCATCTGTGTTGTAGCATGCATCGGTACTTTATTTCTTTCAATGATCAAATAATATTCTAGTCTTCTTAAATTTTGCACCTTAAATGCTTTGCTTGCTTCACCCTAGTCCCAGTCCTGTAACTCAGTCATCAAGTACTGATAAAAGGCGTTTCTGATTTCCCAAGGAAAGAGAATTCTAGTTAGAGGAGGATGACATACCTCCATGACAATATCTAGAGTTTCTTGAGCTAGCATTCTGGGGTGGTGTGTTTCCTATGAAGAGCTTTGGAGA